CTGGGCTGTTCGGCGGGAAAGCAGGACCGAAGGGCAGCTCGGCGCAGCAGAGGCCACTTCCTCCCCTGAGCTCTGCCGTCAGCTTGATTTGTGGTTTCCGGCTGGAGAGCAAATTCTTTGAAGTTTTTGGCCTGTGCTGGAGGACTTTTTAAGGATGCTAAAAGGGAAAATCTGCTGTATTACAAAGGACTTTTTAGGTCAGCAACCACTGCATGTGAGCCAAAAGGCAGCGCTGCCCTGTTCATTGCTTTTAATCTTGCTATCCAGATCAGTGAGAAGTTTGAGGCTCCACAGGAGCCTGCTGGGTTTTTAAAGCAGTTCTCCACATTCTATGAAATTGCTCTTCCAGTAAAAAGTGAAGAGTCAAATCCAGATTGATTTATCCTGGACGGTAGGAAATATCTAAATTTGGAGATTGCTGGGAAGGAAGTGAATTTTCCCAGTTGCTGAGCAGGGGGCTGTAAAAGCTAACTAAGGATTAGAAACATGAGAGCTGCTAACATACCAGTTACACTAAATTAAGCATAAAGCAGAAGAAGAGCGCTCATGATGTTGCTGTAGACATATTTAGCTTCCTTCCATGAAAACAGAAAAGTCCCTTTGGATGATGGTGAAACAGTTGGAAATAGTCTTTGCTGCATTTCTGGTACATTAGAAATTCTGTTTTAAACTGCCTTCTTTCTAAATGAATAGCAAACTAACTATTGTAAAATGCCCAGAGTTACAGGCAAAAGGCAATAATTAAGAGAGACTACCTGAAGGATACTCAAGCCATACCATAACCTACGGCTTTTTTTATTCCCTAACTCTTTTTATGAATAGACCTGAAAATGACATCTTTTGGAGTGATGCTCAGCACCAACAGGAAAAGACTTCTGCTCCTCATGTCGTTTTTTCCACCTTTAACTGAAATGTATCTTATTCCCTCTCCTAGGTTTCTGGTCCAGTTCAGACAAGACAAAGTGTGTGTGAAGTTCATACAAGGCAGCCAGAAAAACGGCAACATCCCAACCTGCAAGCGAAAAAACAATCGGCTTCTTGAAGTGGCTGTCCCGTAACTGTAGCTGGTCACTCTCCCTTTCACGGACTTGTTTCTTTGTAATAGTGCAATTTTAGTTGTTTGGTTTTGCTGATTTTTATCCCTTTCTGGAGCTGTTGATGGCTAATAGCTTTAGAAACCCTTGGCAAAACATTTGATCAGTTGACTTTTTAATCTTTCTGTTCATGCCAGAATGTTAACCCTCAAAATGCAGATTTTTACCCAGTGAGGCATTTTTACCAGCTGGCACACATCTGTCATACACAAACAAAATCGTTCTCTTTGTTTAGCGGTCACAGCTTAGTGCAGCATACCGTAAACCCGCATATTAATGATAAATTACTCATATTCCTTAGTCTAGAGATCCGCTTAACAGGAACTATACATGGCCTTGATGCTCGATGGCCAACTTGTGCCCAGCGTCTTTTTATACCGACCTGTTCTGGTGTTCTGACGGGCTCCTTGCTTGCCACCGCTGGGGACACCGGCAGAACGGAGGCTGACACACTAACTCCTATAGTTAACACTAGGACCTATGTAACTCGATCTTTTAGTCAATGCAGCACAATACAAAAAGGAAGGAATATATGATTATACAAGCAGTTATATGCGTAATTTTATAGTAAAAAATGCAGAAATTTTGAAACGGGATTTTTAATTAGGTCAGATGTTTTTAATGACTTTATACAGTAGAAACAGGTAACATTGAAAAAACTTGTTTCTTTAACAAAAGCTATACAGTTGGAGGCATATTTTCTGTTCTGCTTTTTTTCTATTAAATTATCAGTTTAGATTAGAGCCTGAAAAATGCAATAGTATTCGTAACACAAGTAAATGCTAGGTATTTAAACAGTTATCAAGCAAAAGGTTTGAGCCTTTCTTTTAGATATTGGCATGTACAATGTGCAATAAAACATACATGACATTTTGTGAAAAATTATTTATAATACATTTTTGCGTGCAAGAGAGGATTGGTGCAGACTGCATAGACAATGTAGGGGTTAAAATAGATTTGTGTTGTTAATTTGCAGTTTTTTAGAGTGTACACTACAGTTGTCAATTTGGGACGATTTCTTAGAATTAAAAAGTTCTTAATTTGGGAGTCTGTATATAAATTGGTATTACGGTAATAAAACTGTTCTAATTCTGTGCTGTTTGGTACTCCTATGTTATAACCATATTTTTGTACTCCAAACGATTTTATATAACTTGTGTGCCTGATGTAAATGCGTGCACAGAAAATACGGTCAAGAGCTGCATTATAAACTTTCAGTGTAACTGATTGCACTTAATCTTTTATAAGCCAGAAGCATCAGCTGAATTCCTTAAGAGGAGAGATGTGTTTTTAGATAGAAGTAACTACTCAAGTGAAGGGTTTGTTGGATGTGACTGTTTGATTTGTTGATGCAAGGACAGGTGAGAAAGCATTGTATTTTTGCAGTCTGATACAGGACAGATTAAGACCCTGGGTATCTGATGTGCAGTGCTGGAAGTCCAAGCATAAATAAAGGAAAGATAAAGAAAAGTTCAGAGTCTCCTTACTCTCCCGATGGTAAAGTTACGTAGCACTCACGGCTGCGAAGGCTCCTCTGGGTAGTTCAACGTTAACATTGCCTCTCCGCGTTAAAATGGCATTTACTGCAATAGATGTTCTAGTGCTAACGGTTATCGGTCTGAAAAAAACAGCTGGTTTGGGTTATAGCACGTTTTGCTTTGGGATTAAAGTAAATGATTTTGCTGTGATTTGGATACAAAACAATTGTTTTAACTGGTTGCTTCATGTTGCTGTTAAAAGTGCATGCACGTGACCTTGAAAGGTGGGAGTAATCAAAAGATGTATTTCCCAAACTAAGACAAAAAGTTGCCTCTTCCTTGTGATATTAGTTTGAACCCTTCTTTTAATAACTGAGTCAGGTTAATAGTTCAGTAAAATTTAAATAATTTTACATGTACTGTAATTAGAGATGCTTACGAAGGAAATCTTAGTATCAATTTGTAATGCAAAAGTAGGATACTTCAAAGGAATTATTCCGTTGCTGTAAGAAGACAGCACGTAATAATACGGCATTTAAAAACTCCGAAATCCTGTATTAGAATTCCGGCTTGGTAAAGATTGGAGGGTTGGTAAAACTGTTCACTATCTTGAAAACCTTGCAGTAAGAACCACGAGGACCAAATTTTTAAAAAGAATACAGAAGTAAGGAAAACGAACATTTTGAGGTCTGATGTAATCCTGTAGTTGCCTGCAGGTAGGAAATGGGAGAGCATAGATTAAGTACATCCGAATACTTGGACCATGAAATCAGGGTATTGCAGCATAATTTTGAATATTTGACCCATCCCAGCCAGACCCAGAACGCATCCGTTTGTGTTTTTGATCTTTGCAGCAAGTCGTGATAGCCGTACCTGCAAAAGACTGAACAAGGGACAAATTCCTCACTTTGATTTCTGTTGTTTCATTCTTTTTCCGGACCCTTACAATTCTTACCTTGCATATTAGCTGGTACTTTGTGATAGTTACCATTTGACACATAAATATTTCTCAATGTACAGACCAAGTTTTGCTGAACATGAATTATTTAGATATGCTAGGAGGTTTAGGTATGCTGTAGATTTAAGTATTTAGGATGTTGAAAATAAAAATGCAAGGTCACCTAGGTGGTTTTTTTTTTTTCTTTTCCTCTGTTTTCTTTTATAACCATCTTATCAAATGGAGTTGTAAAGAGAAGACTATTCCTCTTACGGTGCTAACCTTACACACCCTTTTACTTGTAAATTTTAATTTGTCATCTGAAAGCTGGGCAAGGATCATAAAAAAATGAGATTTGTTGCATGATGCTTTCCAGAATCAAATAAAATTCTGTTCCTAGACCTATACTTTCTCTATATCTTCCTTACTGCCATCAAATCTAAAAAGAGCAAGTGACTGGTTTTTAGGTTCAATATACACAACACTGGTGTGTGACTTGGAGAGAGAAGACATTTTTATTTTGTGTGTGATTCCTTAAGAGGCAGCATGTCTTCCTTGGTGATGCACAGTAACCTTTTTCAGTGCAATTCTTTGGCACAAATCCTTTCCTCGACATACTTTTCTCTGAAAATTCTGCAAACTCAACTTTCCTAACTTTAGCATTTGGACTGATTCCCTAAGAACAGTATTAATAGCCAGATCAATCTGATTTTAAATAAAATGGCTTTGAGCCCCAAACCTATCAGTTTCCACGTGTTTTGTCTTGTGATCTTTTTCTTTTTTTATCCTTAACAATTTTATCCTGATTTATGTATATTTTTTGTTCATCATTCAAATTATGGAAGAAAGAAACTAAAATGTAAAATCAGAAAAAGCATCTTCAGTTTTAATCCAGGTTTGTTTTCATTGCCAAAATGAGAGCATTTTTCTAAACCGTTCTGGGAAAAAATATTTGAAGGATTAAATGAAAATTCTGATATGAAATGAGATAGTTTTTCTCAGTTGCTGTAAATTTCACTGTTAATTATTAAGCTTTTAGATCCTTAATCTTGAAGACCAGCGTATTTTCCATATCCTCTAGGAAATGGTCATGGTTATTTTGGAAGCTCGCACTGTAGCGTGGTGGTGGGCAGGAGGGCGATGCACGTGGCTGTGCTGCTTTGGGCATTAGAACTTCCCAGCAAACACGCGTTTCAAAGCCAGAACTGGAAGCGGTTTATGGGGATGCTGCCAACTTACAGCAGCGCGGACAAGCGCGAATCGCAAGTAGTCTCTGTCATCGCGAACAGAGGAGTTCTGCCTTTCCTGCTGTCGAGCTTCCGTCCTTACCCGAGGAGTTTGTGGCT